CAAACCAGCAGGCACGCACACACACACAGACATTGAAACCACAGCAGAATGCGGGAGTCTCAGCAAGGCATTCATTCCAGCGGCAAATCCCAGAACTCAGCAGTGTTCTCAGTCTGTGTTTTTTGCGGGTCATTACACAGCTGTGAATTCTCTCGAACTCCCACATGCTCTTCCCTCACCCACGTGACCCCCCTTCCCACTCGAGCTGCGAATCTCGCCTACACGCAGCCATTCATGTTTGCAGTGCTGCTGGCCTGCTCACGACTCCCCTCACGCCTTGCAGAACAGCTGCCATCACCTGCAGCAAGCCAGCAAGCCATCGAGCCATGTGAGCTGGTGCACGATGGGGTAAGGGGCGCCATCATCTTGCACATACACACACACATCACACACACACACACACACAGACACACACACACACACACACACACACACACACACACACACACACACACACACACAGGGAGAGAGAGAGAGAGAGACCCATCGCTCTTTGTTCTTCTTCTTCTTCTTCTTATGTTTCAAAGTTTTGAACTTCACCCTCGCCCAACGACCTTCCCCATCCCCCATCAGCCTCCCCACTCGGCCATTGACCTCCCCCCTACCCAATCACCCTTCCCCCCCCTCCCCGAGCCATCGAGCCATGTAAGCTGGCGCACGATGGGGTAAGGGGCGCCCTCTTCTTGCACACACGCACACACATCACACACACATCACACACACACACACACACACACACACACACACACACACCCATCGCCCTTTGTTCTTCTTCTTCTTCTTCGTATGTTTCAAAGTTGAACTTTGAACTTCACCCTCACCCAACGACCTTCCCCATCCCCCATCAGCCTCCCCACTCGCCCATTGACCTCCCCCCTACCCAATAACCCTTCCCCCCCCTCGCCGTCTGGATTTTTTCCTCGTCTTTGCCATCGCCTCCTCTCCCTAAGTGACCTCCCCCATTGCCATTGTATCCCCTCCATTGCTCTGACCTCCCCTGCCCATTCTGACCTTTCCCCCATTGGCATTGCCTGCCTCCCCAATCGTGATCGTGACCTTTTCCCCATTGGCATCACCTCCCCTCCCATCGCCGTCGCCTGAACTCCATCGCGACATTTCCCCAGTCACCATCATGACAATCGCCTCCCCCCACCGGCGCCATCGCCTCCCATCCCAATCCCGACTGCCCTCCCCCACTTTGCCATCCTATCATACCCATCGCCAGCATCTTCCCTTCCCATCACCATGTCCTCCCCTCCCAATTGTAGTCTCTTCACCTTGTCCTCCTACCCTCCTTGCCTCCCCTCCGTCTCTTCAGCTCCCCTCCGTCTCTTCAGCTCCCCTCCATCTCCACCTCCTCTCCCCTCTTCTCCTCCCGCCGCTTGCCATGTGACATGCCAATTTTATTTTGCTAATCTCTTGTCCTCCTCCTCGTCCTTTCTCTCTCTCATTCTCGTCCTGCCCCTCCTCCTGCTCCTCCTCCTCCTCCTCCTCGCCTCCCCTCCATTTCAGCCTGGGCAGGCCTCGAGAGTCGGTTCGTTCAAATAGGTTTGTGACATGCCAATTTTATTTTGCTAATCTCTTGTCCTCCCTCTCGTTCTTGTCCTGCTCCTCCTCCTGGTCCTCCTCCTCATCTCCCCTCCATTTCAGCCTGGGCAGGCCTCAAGAATCGGTTCGTTCAAATAGGTTTGGCTGAAAGATCGCAAAGGCATGCATGCCAGGCCTGGGGGAATGGGGGGTGGGTCCTGGGCTGTTAGGGGGGAAAGGGGGGGGTTCAGCTGCAGATTTTTGAGACCATAAGAAACAGAACTTGGACAACCGGCACCCAGAAACGGAACTGCCATACCCAAAAAGAAGTGACACAGCTGCACATATTGGAAACAGCAAGGACAGCGAAGGAGATGTTCCTGACATCCATTCTCGCCACAACAAGCACCAACGACGTCAGCTCTCGGCCAGCGAAGGAGCTTTCCATTGTCGACTTCCCCTTGCCTGCTGCAGCTGGAAGAAGAAGCAGCAGAAGCAGAAGCAGAAGCAGAAGCAGCACCAGAAGCTGAAGCAGAAGCAGAAGCACAAGCAGAAGCACAAGCAGACGCACAAGCACAAGCACAAGCAGAAGCACAAGCAGAAGCCGCATCAGAAGCAGAAGCAGCAGCAGCAGAAGAAGAAGAAGAAGAAGCAGCAGAAGGAGAAGAAGCAAAAGCAGAAGCAGAAGAAGCAGAAGCAGAAGAAGCAGCGGCACCCAGAAACGGAACTGCCACACCCAAAAAGAAGTGACACAGCTGCACATATTGGAAACAGCAAGGACAGCGAAGGAGATGTTCCTGACATCCATTCTCGCAACAACAAGCACCAACGACGTCAGCTCTCGGCCAGCAAAGGAGCTTTCCATTGTCGACTTCCCCTTGCCTGCTGCAGCTGGAAGCAGAAGCAGCAGAAGCAGAAGCAGAAGAAGCACCAGAAGCTGAAGCAGAAGCACAAGCAGAAGCACAAGCAGAAGCCGCATCAGAAGCAGAAGCAGCAGCAGCAGCAGCAGCAGAAGAAGAAGAAGCAGAAGGAGAAGAAGCAAAAGCAGAAGCAGAAGAAGCAGAAGCAGAAGAAGCAGAAGCAGAAGAAGCAGAAGCACCAGCAGAAGCAGCACCAGCAGAAGCAGAAGCAGAAGCAGAAGCAGAAGCAGAAGCAGCAGCAGCAGCAGCAGCAGCAGCAGCAGCAGCAGCAGCAGCAGCAGCAGAAGCAGAAGCAGCAGCAGCAGCAGCAGAAGAAGAAGAAGACGCAGCAGCAGAAGAAGAAGAAGCAGAAGCAGCAGAAGAAGAAGAAGCAGAAGCAGAAGCAGAAGCAGAAGCAGAAGCAGCAGAAGCAGAAGAAGAAGCAGAAGCAGCAGCAGCACAAGCACAAGCAGCAGCAGCACAAGCAGCAGCAGCACAAGCATCATCATCATCAGCAGCAGCAGCAGGAGAAGGAGAAGCAGAAACAGAAGGAGAAGGAGAAGAAGAAGGAGAAGGAGAAGCAGAAGGAGAAGCAGAAGGAGAAGCAGAAGGAGAAGCAGAAGGAGAAGGAAACGATGAAGAAGAAGAATACGAAGAAGAAGCAGAAGCAGAAGGAGAAGGAGAATGTGACGGGGCTGACACAACGAGGCTGGGAGAGAGAGGGAGAGAGGGAGAGCACACACACACACACACACTCAACTCGACGCAGACTCGACACGACTCGACGTACACAGACACGAGGTGGCAAAGTCGCAAAGTCGAAGTCTTGAATTTCTGAAGACAATGTCGAAGCAAGTCACACTGAGTACGAGTACAGCAGGAAACTGGTACGAGACTGGTCCCCGTACCGTACAGGGAGCCGGTATAAGTACCGGTGACACGTACGGTACCAGGGGCATTTCTGCAAAGGCCCCGAGGGCAGAACTGAAAAATGCGGTATTTGAAAGTGGCGCCCGAATTGCAGCATGGCGCCAGTTGTCCAAAATCTTACGGTACCAAAGGAGGGGTTTGGAAAAAGGGTGCCAGGCCGAAAACGAGATGCAGCCGAAACAGCAAAAAGATAGACCAGGGATCGAGCCCTGGCCGAGTCCGTAACACTATCCTCTCCCTCTAGATGGCAACGTCCCGGCTGCCAAAAATCATGAAGCAATGCTGAAATCTGTGAAGGACAGGACGGGGCCGATCACTGGTTAACAAGTCGAAAGGGAAGACGTGTATAATGTGGGTGGCATGGGCTGCGGGAGTAAGAGGGAACAGGGTTTGGTACCGGTGAACAGAGTCGTCCTACTGATGAACTGAAGGGACGACATAGTTTGCTATAGGTCAAGGGGGAACAAAGAACTTCTATTGATGTTCTACAGGGTAAGGGAAACGGTGTTCAGGAAAACAGGGTATTTCTATTGATGTTGTAGTGGGTAAGGGAAACAATGGTCAGGGGAACAGGGGATGTCTATCGATGTTCTAGTGGGTATGGGGAACAATGGTTAGGGAAACAGGGATCTACTAATGATGTTCTACAGGGTTGTCAAAGTCAGGAAAAATAAAAATGAAAATGTTTGTTCAGGATGCAAGGGCTGGTGTGTCCGAAGGAGTCGGAAGCAGAATCTCATGTAGGAACAAAGTGTCCAAGTGTCTTGAAGGGGGGTCTGCAGCAGTCTTGATCAGGTCTTTGGAGTAGGTGGTAGAAGCGGTCTTCAGCGGCTGCGACAGGTAGAAGTCCAAGAAGCGTACTAGTAGTTCAAGTGTCAAAGTCCAAGTGCTAGGGTGCGTCCGGTACACGAACTGCAATGAGGTCTGATCTGGAAGCAAGGAAGTCGCAGACTGAT